TTCATGGCAATATTTAATGCGTTCTTTCAGAGAAGTAAAGTGTTTATAACCTCTATCATGATATGGGCAGGTGAGTAATTGGGAAAGTGCTCCATTTTCATCATGACCACTGGCTTCTGGTGTGCTCTGCCTGTTCGGGTGCATCAAGATAAACGTCTTATTGTTGCAGGAACTCCGCAACATTAGGATCATGGTTTTGCTCATTTTCTGCATCTGAGTTTTACTGTGCAAGCTCAGTCAGTGCCTGAGCTTCAGGTTCCAGGATTCCTTGCCCTTCCCTCCATCATCTTCCCAATGGTTCTTAGCATTCTCTTCTTGTTCACTGCTTCCTGGTAAAACTGATCTGCTGGCAAGTCATCTTCTGGCTTCATACCACCTTCATGGTCAGCTGCATCTATAATTTATTCTTCCACAATAGAGAGTCTGTCTTCCTCTTCTGAATCTGAACTTGTTTCTACTAATGCCTTTTGTGCTGCAGATTTTCCTGCTTTCTGCACTTAAACCTGGAGTCATCCACCATGATCCTCTTGCCTGTGTCTATATGCTCCCTCAATCACCTCCTCCCTTACTCTCCTTCTCCCTCTCCCCCACCACCCCGCTACCTCCCTACATTGTCCTCCTTAATTCATTCAACTCTTTATTCTTTTCTCTTGGATTTTATAGAGTTTTTTAAAATCATTCTTGTGAATTCCTTGGCATTTCATCAACTTCAATATCTTTTGAGTAGTTTACCCTGGATTATGAACTTTATGAGGTGACATATTAATTTGTTTTTCATATTCTCTGTATTTCTACATTGATGATGCTTGCTTGCATATCTACTGTGTAATCTCCCTGTAGCTTCTTTGCCTTTGATGCATGAGTTTGGGCATTCAGTATACTGTATTAGAGTCAGAGTGACCCATTGTCCCTGCAAGTCTTATAAGAATGAGGACACTCTGGTACTTTGGGCAGATATGGTATAGGCAGTAGAGCATATGGGGTGCATTTCCCATAGTTACTATTGCTGTGGAATTGGTAACCCCTGTCAGGAGTTGGGAGTTTCCACAGGCACTGTTGACAGGAGATCTGTAACTTGAATTCAATTTTGATGCCAGTTTCTCCAGTCACATTTTGAAGGGCCTGAAGTTCCTGTCCTATGATTGAAGACTGGTACAGATCTAGGTGCTTCGTGGGGAGAGGGTGGGGATGGAGTCACAGCTGGCCCTCTGTGAGACTCAACTTCTTATCAGTCCCATGATATCTAACAAGAGGACCCACACAGAGGCAATACCAGCAACCATTATGTGTTTTTCCTCTGCAGCTGCTGTAGGGGTATTTGCCTAGGATTGAGACTTTAGCCTTCACCTAGCCATGTCTGGGAATAGATCAATAGCTTGGGGTTTATGTCCCCACTTTTCTTTAAGTAGAAATATCCTCCAGGATCCAGGCAGGATTGGGCTTAATTCTTTTCAGTTGAGCTGAGAGTGTAACTCAGAGGCAGAGCACCTGCCAATAATGTGTGCAAGGCCCTGGGCTCAATCCCTCTCACTGGAAAGAGAATGAGAGAGAGAGAGAGAGAGGGAGGAGAGAGAGAAAAGAGAGAGGGAAGGTGGGAGAGAAAGAGAGGGGAGAGAGAGAGAGAGAGAGAGAGAGAGAGAGAGAGAGAGAGAGAGGAGAGAGAGAGAGAGGAAAAAATCATAAAAAAGAAATAAAAAATCAAAATAAAAAAAGGAAATTAATAAATGAGTTCAAAACTTCCTCCTAGCTCAAAAACACAATCAAGGGTGGATGATCACAGGCTATGCCAATCTAATGTTCTCTCCAGGGCTTTTTAGATTGAAATCTGCCAGGTACAGGTGGGGGTAGTTGGCCCTGACTACAGCATGCTTATATTCCTCTCAACTCTTGCCAAACAAGTTAGAGCAGAATGCGTTTCTCCATGAACGAGTTCTCAACAACTACTTTCTAAATTGTCCAGAGTCCATGGGGCCAGCATCTGGAGAGCAGACAGGCTAGGTATTTCCATGCTCTTCTGCAGTCTAATCTGCTCCTAATCACATCCAGACATTGTTTTCATCTCTAGAGTAGAAGTTGGCTTTTGGTCCTTTTATATCTTCCATACTTTAACTGAATTAGACCCTTCTGAGTACTCAATCACAGGCCTTTCTGACTGTTGAGAATTGTCACTGTGTCCAGCTGAGTCTGGGTACAGTTCTATCTAATTCTTTCAGGTGGTTCTTTCCCAGACCTGGGTGGTTTTCTCACACAGACACTGATTACTATGCTGCTGAATACTGAGGGGACTCTGCAGATCTCTGCAATTCTGTGTGCTCCTTTCTCCTTTCCAGTTCTTTTGCCTGTGAACTCTAGCTACCTAGGCCTCTCCACACTCTCAGCTCCATGTCCTCAGTTCAAGGACTCTACTAGGCAATGCCTGAACTACAGCCTAAGGACCCTCTTAATACAGTAAGTAAGGCAATCACAGGTCTCTTCTCTTTCCTTCCCCATTTCTCAGGGATGACTGTCTTTTGCTGCCTGATGTCTACTGTTTTGAAAACCATCGTTTCATATACTTTGTTGTATTGGTTTGTTTCAGGTGAGGGGATAAATCCAGTCTCTCTTACTCCATTTTGATTAGAAATCTGGTATGTCATTCATAATATTCTATTTATTAATTTGGGTGGTCAGTTCATAAATGCCCATTTTCTTATTGTGCATCATTAACCTACACATACATATATTATATATTATTTCATTTAATAAAATATTAAAGAGTTGCAGTCAAGGAACCTGACTCACACCAGCAGGCAGTTAAAAGTTGGGGGAGGAGTTTAGGTGAAGTTGCTGTTTGTAAAATAGCTATTTGTAAAAACAGAAGCTACTCTGCTCTCTCCTCTTGGTGGGGGAGATACAAAGACCTCACCATAATAGGGATGATAGAAAATGTAAATGCAAAAGTAAATAGTGAAATTTGTAATGAGTTAATCATTTAAAAGCTTAAGAAGGAATCTCAAAGACACACAGGAAAATTAGACAAATGGGAGAGTACCTGACTAGCCAGCAGTACACACCCCAGCACTGCCAAAACATGAAATAAAATATATCAAATAATTGTTCACAAATAATTTTCTGTGGTAGAAAAGAGAACAAATTTTGTGAGAAAAGTGTATTTGTGAAGCAATTATACAAGTATGAAGTCTAGGAATATGATTGCATCATGAAAGATTGTCAACATATAGAAACATAAATGTCACACATGCATGTAAAGTCTCATGGCTCTCTGAGCATCATGATTTTCATTTGTCATTAAATGCTAAACTACTCAGCATTAGTTCAGTATTTGTCCCATTTTCCTAGTTTTTCTTACATGGATTTAAACATATCAGTAGCTATTTCCTCAACATTTGGAAACTACAGGTACTTACTATTTAAAAAAAAAACTATGTCATCCTTCCAGGTCATGTTCTTACCATCCTCTTCCTCTACAATACTCATTCCCCCATGTTATCCTGATCGATGAAACACATTTACTAATTTTTCAAAGCAGCAGCAAGAACTTCACAGGATGGAGTTGTCACTGTTATACTCTGTTGGTGAGAATGAAAAGGAAATCCAACTGCCTGGTTTTGAGTCCTACTTTCTAGTTGATTGGGTTTCTTTATTGTTGTTTTGTTTGTTTGTTTTTCTTTGGCGGTACTGGGCACACCTCTAGGCAGGTGCTCTACCACTTGAGCCACTCTGCCAGCCCGAGTCCTACTTTTTATAACCTTGGTCAAGTTACTGAATTCGTCACTGATTAGTTTTCTCATTTGTAAACAGGGGGTAACAGCAGGGGCTACTCATAGGTTATTGTGAGGATTAACTAGGAAATACATACCACGTATGGTTGTCTGCCACATAGGAGTATTCTTCAAATATATGCAATGATAACAGATAATCTGACAGCATTTGGCCAAAGGAAAAAAGTGTACGCTTTCTTTGTGCAATGCTGACTCTAGGAATGTGCCCTAAGGAAATAAGTCAAATGTTTAAAGGTGTTACCCTGCTGGTCAAAAGAGTTTAAAAGAGGGGTCAGTTGATTAAATAAATTATGGTACATCCACACAGTGGAAAACTTCAGAGAGAAAATAGTATAAGAATTATGAAATAATTATAAGTATAATAATTACTATAAGAAATTTCAATGAGCTCATGCTTCTCTCATCGCTCCCAGAATATCTTCAGTTCCTCCCAGCTCTTCCTTCTTTGCTTTCATTACCAGTCAGATTGTTTCATTAACAATCTTTAAATCTCTGTGGCATGCAACAGTAAGCACTTATTTCTCACTTGAAAGTGAAACAGCTTACTTCACACTTTGGTGACTAGCCAGAGAATGCTCTTGTCATGACAATTGGAGAAGCCCAAGAGATAATTATGAAGCTTCCTTAAAACTTCCAGTTCTAAGTTCAAAATTAACATAACATTATTTCCATCATCAGCTCATTGGCCAATGAAAGTCATATAGATGAGTCACAGTCAAGAGTCAGAGAGTAACTTAGTTTCTTGTGATGCTGTGGAGATTATGGATTCAGGGCAACTAGAGCTAGTAGTTAAATCTACAACATTACTTGGTATCATTTTTCATGCTCTGCCAGGGAAATTGCCAAGTCTCTTTGCATTCATTAAACTCATCCTAGTTTCTATGTAGCTTTTTCTCCCTTAACAGAATAGTTAAAAAATTCTATCTTTATGATTCTGCCTCAGGAACCAATTCACTTGGCGACACAGAGTTCTCTGTACCTGTACTTTCAAACTCCCTTCTTAGGGACACTTCCACTATAGGTATGAGTTATTTTTATTCACTACAGCATTTACATTAAACAGCTAATTTCTGTGGATTTACGCAAAATAAAGACTCAAATTCATAGCGTCTTTCAGGAAGATTCATTCTTTAATTTTTTTTTTTTTCACGAAAGCAGAAGATTGATCTTTCCTGTATTCCCCAGAGGAGCAGAGGCTCTGGTTTGTGTTAGGGGAGCTTTTGAAGATGACTGTCTCTTGATGTGCTCATGGAGGTTGACATAGAGGCTCCTGGATTCAAACGATCAAGCATTAGCCAAGCCTCGAACCAATTATAAAAGTGGAATTTTGCCATATTCTTGCCCTTAAGAAACCAAAATAGTAGAGAGAGAGAATATAATCAGAATAGAAAACTTTAGTCATTTCTCTGGATTCTGAGAGTTCATAACCCAAAACCCAGAGCTGAGAGAGATGGGCTCAGACACGAGAATGGGAAAACCATGCTTTGAGAATTAGGGATGTATTTCCCAGAAAAGGAACATGAAGACAATGGTCAGAAATGGCAATTTCCTTCCTCTTTTCTAATCTTGGCTCCAAGAGCCCCAGCAGAACCTCTTCAAGGTCTTACATGTTACAGATTCCACTGCTCCCACCATCGTGGAAGTGATATGTGGCTCCTGACAGTACTGCTCCTTTGGGGTAAGTTGGGCTCAGAGAGGGTGGCTAGAAAGGTGTGGGTTCTGGCGATGGAAGTCAAGGGTTTTTTGTCTTTATTTGGGATATTAGACTAGAACTCATGAGAACTCATATGATCTGATGGTTTATTGGTGCTTATTATATCAAAAGGATGGGAAGTGGCATTAAGCCTGGAAATGTCATATCAAAATAAAGTCTCATCAACAAGCATCGGTTCTGCTGGTACTCAATTTTGGGAAAAGGACAGAGAGACTCTTGAGACCTCAACAGGCTTCTCAGAGTCTACACTTACTCTAGCTCCCCAATTCTCCCTTCCTCACCATCTCCCACTGGCTGACAGCTCTGTTCTCTGGTCTCTTGCAGTTCCAGTTGGTGGGCAAGTGGGTGAGTACCTCTAACTCAGCTTCTCCTCTTATACTGGCTGTCCTACTTCCAAAGGATGGGATCCTTTAACCTGCAGAGGAGAGTCTAGGGAGAAGCTAGATAAGAAAAAGATTTATAGGTTATATAAAATACACTGCATTAAAGTGTGATTTTTAACAACATTTGGATTTTTAAGGTTTCTTTCTAAAGTTTTCTGGGTGAGCCCTGACTCTGAACCAAATGCCTAAGAACATACGTAAGAGCAGGACAGGCCAGAATTGCAGAAACACAGAGGAACTCTGCTGGATTTGCCAACAGCCCCAAACCAGTTTCCTTTACAAGAATGCTGAGTCTGTTGTTCCCCTCAGAGAGAGCCAGGCAAGGTACTACAGGCTCCAGAAGGAGGAGTCTGAGCCCCCATTTCCAATGCAAAAACTAAAGAAGTCATGCTTTACCCTCAGAGACAGTCTAACACAGAGGCTAGGGAAACTGGCTGTAGTCAATTTGCTCATTACTGATAGCACCAGTAATTTCATCCTCAGGAACCAAAATCCTCAAGGCCCAGATTAGGACTTAATAACATAAACACAGTTCTCTACAGCAGGGTCTGGACACTCCTGAAGGCTGGCTTTTATAAGTTTCCACTTGCCTATTTTTCAAACTAATCTAATTATGCATGCAATCTTTCCTTGTGTGATCTGCAAAACTTTACCCATTACTCAGTGCCCTTCCTCTTTCTCCACTTGGGTTATTTTCGTTGTTGTTTGCTTGCTTTTTGTTTTTGTTTTTAATCCCCAAGCAGACCCCACAAAGGCCGTGATCACCCTGCAGCCTCCATGGGTCAGTGTGTTCCAAGAGGAAAATGTCACTTTATGGTGTGAGGGGCCCCGTCAGCTTGGGGACAGCTCCACACAGTGGTTTCTCAATGGCACAGCCATTCAGACCTTGACCTCCAGATACAGCATCACTGCAGCCAGTGACAATGACAGTGGTGAATACAGGTGCCAGACAGGTCTCTCTGTGCCAAGTGATCCTGTACAGCTGGAAATCTACAGAGGTAAGTATGGCATGGAGGAGTGCTGGAAATCACTGGGTCTTCCTCTGTGTGGACGCCAGGGCTGTGTGTGTGTGTGTGTGTGTGTGTGTGTGTGTGTGTGTGTGTGTGTGTATGTGAGAGAGAGAGAGAGAGAGAGAGAGAGAGAGAGAGTTTACTGAGTACAAGTCTCAACTCTAAGTGCCTACCAGATGAGATGAAGTCAATACACTCAAAACATCACATCAGGGTCCTGTGTACCAACCACACCCCAACTGGACCAGCTGTAGGTAGGATGCCTAAAAAAAAAAAGAAAAGAAAAACCTCAGACTCTAAGATTTTATCATTGTTCAAAATTTATGCCAGTACACAGTAAATAATACTAATTCAAACACATGATGATAAACAGTGAAAAGTCTCCTTCCACCCCAAAACTTTGGTCCTACCATCACCTTCCATAAAAGTAAAACTGTTATTGTTTGTAGACGTAAAACAAACAAACAAAAAAAACCAAACTGTAGTTTGGTAGAATACTCTATATGCTGCCAGGAATAAATTCTTAGAATGGAGAAGTAAGGGGAAAGGTGAGTTGAGCTGGCAGAGCTGTTTCAGCAAGAGATTTTGTATAGTTTGAGAAGAAGCAGAAATTTTTCATAGGTCAAGTGACCAAAAAAGAATGGAGTAGGGCTTGGAAGAGCCCATTTTCTTTCTTTATATGAAGTATAACTTACAACAAACCCTAAGTACACACCTCAGTGGATTTTCACCCACATAAAGAAACAGAACATTTCCAAGCTTCAGAATCTCTGTCTTGTCCATTTCTGCTCACTACCCCTCAGCACTGGCATCTAACACATAGAGTTTTGCTTATTTTTGAGCTTCATACAAAAGTCTAAAGTATGGCAGAGGATATAGTGTGTCTGGCTTCTTTGTCTCAATGTTATGATTGTGAAATTCGTACATGCTCTAGAGTTCATTGTTCTCATTTTTCACAATACTACATATTTTTCTCTTCTACTGGTGGACTCTTCTCGGTTTCCAGTTTGGGGACTTGTACCAATAGTACTACTATGGGCATTTTTTACATGTCTTTTGGTGCACAGAAATATAGGTATCTACTGAAAAATGCCTAAGAGTGAAATTTCTAGGTCACAAAGCATATATAAATATATTCAGCTTAGTAGATACTGCTAAACAGGTTTTTGAAGTGGGTTGTACCAATTTATGCTTCCACAGAATACAAGAGATGGTCGTCCTCCATCTTCATCAACACTAGTTGTTTTCTATAGTTTTCAGTTTTGCCATTCTGATAACTTTGTAAGTAGTATCACATTGTTTTAATTTATGTTTCCTTGATGATTATGTTACTCACTAATTTTCACATGTTCGTTACCTATTTGGATATTCTCTTTATAAAGAACCAGAACAGATCTTTTTGCCAATTTTTCTACAATCTCTGTTTTTCTTATTGACTTATAGAAATTCTTTATATATTCTGGATATAAGTCTTTTGTCAAATGTTTCAAATATCTTCTACCACTCTGTAGCTTGCCTTTTGACTCTCACATATTTTTCAATGAGCAAAAGTTCTTATTTTGACTACGGTACAGTACAGAAAGGTTTTGGGTTAGTGCTCTCTGTGCTCTATTGAAAAGATATTTTGTCATAATTACTCAACAGTGGAAGATTCAACTGCAGTTTCATAGCTGCTTAACCACCTTCAATTAAATCTGTGGATGCTGAGACCAAGAAAATACAGTTGGTTGGTGGACCCAAGCCCTAATCATATGCTTAGAATGAGTGACCCCTTCCTACTCCAAGGTCATGCAGTGAGGGAATAGTTTCCAAATAGGAAATTAATAGGCTATGTCTACTAAGAACTACATCCACAATTTTGATATAAAATACTCTCATTATCATTTAAGTTTAAAATTTTAAATTCCATTATAATTCTTTCCTTTTTGTTGCTCATGAATTAAGAATTAAGAAGTTATTAGAAGGTGGTTTTTGTGATTGATTTATTCCCCTTTATTTTGGGGTACTAGGATTTGAACTCAAGGCCTAACTTTGAGTCACTCCACCAGCCCTTTTTTGTGATGGTTTTTTTGAGATAGAGTCTTGGGAACTATTTGCCTAGGCTAGCTTCAAACCACGATCCTCCTGATCTCTGCCTCCTGAGTAGCTAGAATTATAGGCATGAGTCACCGGTGCTGGGCTTGTGATTGATTAATTTGTGGCATTTTGGTCAGATTTTTTTAAAAATATGTATCTATTCTTTAGCATTTTTTGAAAATTGCTTTGTGGCCTAGTACATGCTCAATTTTTATAACCATTGCATGTATGTTTAGAAAGCATAAGAATTTTCTTTTGAAAGTACAGCATTCCACAAAATTAAGTTTATTAATTGTGTCATTCAAATATTTTTGTGTTTTGACAGTTTCTGATGGAGGTATATTAAAATTCCCCACTATGTTTTGGACCTAGAAAGCAAAGATGTCTGTGTGTTTGGACAATTTAATCATTGAGCACTTCCTGCTTGGGGACAGAAATAAAGACAAGAGGAGTCTTGGTTATATTTAAAGCACTATGGCGGTATCCAAGACTGTAAAAGTGTGCTACACACAGCACTGGAACACCTGCCTTCCATCAGAGATAAGTTCTGGAGGGTGAAAATTCCCACTGTCCTCCCCTCTTAGGCACCTGAAAACTTCATCTTTATTTATCAAACTAACTGTTCCTGGAGAAGGAAAAAATAAAGGTCATGCTTTTGTTATTTGTAAGGGTGTATATAAGAAGGGAGGGCCCTTTTGACTTGAGCTTACTTTTACCTGTGGTATTACTGGTCTGCATGTGTAAGTATTTGTACCAGTGTGGTAAGATATAGACATCTGGATATAGTTGCCATTCTGTGTGTTTATCTTAAGATACATGGTCCTATTAACAAAATTTTCAAGGGCATATTAGGTTTCTATTGCAATGTGACAAATAATTCGCAAACTTTGCAACTTGAAACAACATGCATTTATTATGTTCCTGTTTCCATGAGTCAGAAAGGAGTTCCCATGTAGTTTAGCTGGATGCTTTGTTCAGGGTCTCACAAGTGTGCAATCAGCACACTGGGGTATATTCCTTTTTGCCTCTCTTCCAAGCTTACCAGGTCATTGGCAGAGTTCATTTCCTTGGGGTGTAGGACTGACATCCCTGCTTTCTTGTTGGCTGTCAACTGAGGGCACACTCATCTCCTAAGGGCCCTGCCATGCAGCCCTCTCATAGGCTCTTTCACATAATGGCAGATTTCTGCTTTGAGGCCAGCAAGAGACTCACTATCCAGTGCACTAAGAAAGACTCTTATGTAATATAACATGAGAGTGACTTTTGTCATATTCTGCTGGCTAGAAACAAGTCATACATTCTGTCCACACTCAAGAGGATTATACAAGTATGTGACTCACTGTTGTAATCTCAGAATTCTGCCTATCACACAGACAGAAATTGTTCCAATCAATTTCTGAGATCTGGAAAGGGAAGACAAGAAGGGGCTATATGCACCTCTTCTGGTAAAGATGACTTTTCTTTCTACCAAAACTAAAAATGTTTGAGAGTGGGACATCAGCTTTGGATAAGCAGAGTTTTGAGGTTGCAATGTTGCAAGGAGAGAAGATTAGAAAGTCCCCAGGACCAAGCTTTGGCTTCCTTGTACCTCCTCCATTGCATGTAAGCACTTTGTGTCTACACTTTTCAGATTGGCTGCTACTCCAGGCCTCTAGAAGAGTCATTACTGAAGGAGAACCTCTGACCTTGAGGTGTCATGGGTGGAAGAATAAGCTGGTGTACAATATAGTTTTCTATCGAAATGGCAAATCCTTTAAGTTTTCTCCTCGAGATTCTGAACTCACCATTCTGAAAACCAATGTGAGTCACAACGGCACCTATCATTGCTCAGGCATGGGAAGGCATCGATACACATCAGCAGGAGTGTCTGTCACTGTGAAAGGTATTGTATCTGAATAGTTAGAGAGTTGTAGTTGTAAGGACCAGAAGAATCATCACAAATCATCTAAAATCCTCACTTCAATATAAAAGTGAAGCTCTAGAGAAGTAAACTTCCTTACTGAAGGCCATTCAATGACAATGGCCACTGCCATGGCTAGGGCCAGAACTGAGGTCTCTGGGAACAAGTTCATTTCTCTTTCCAGTATACCATAATGTCCCACCAGTAATCGCAAAAGCTAATGTCAAAGTCAGAGCATAGCAAATATTCATTTCATTCATTTTATTCTAGTTGCAAGGAATAGCTCAGAATTATTAGGAAATAATTCAATGGAATCTCATGAATGTTCTATAGAAATGGAAACCAGAAAAACACTAGAAATTGGCTATACTTTCCATTTCTCTCTCAGGGACAATGTGGCCTCTCTGGTTCCCCTTCTTCAAAGCATCTGCGAACTAAGCAGCTTCTTCTGTTCCAGGTCGCATATGGCCCCTCTTCTGATTCTGATTCATAATCAAAGTATAATTGCTAGCAACATTTTTTCTGTCTGCTAAAGAAAAGTTAATTCCTGTGAGAAAGAAATTATTGTCCCATATTTTCTTTTGAATCAGGAACATAAGTGATGTTGTGAGTTAGTGTTGCCTCTAGGTGGATCACTGCCAAGATAGTCTGGTCATTCACAGAAGCATGCACCATGTAAAACTATTCTCCTCCGCAGGATGTGAGCAAACTGGTAGCCATAGTCCAAGAACACCTCTGTGCGGAAAGTGGGAGAAATTATGCTTTTGTATGAATTCTCTTGGGGCATGTTTCCCAAGTGGGGAGATGGGATGTCTCTTCTGAAAAAAACTGAGGCTAAAAAGGCAACCTTGTCCTCCATTAGAGCTATTTGCAGCTCCAGTACTGAGAGCATCCTTGTCGTCCCCCCTCATTGAGGGGGATCTGGTCAACCTGAGTTGTGAAACAAAGTTGCTCCTACTGAGGCCTGGCATGCAGCTTTACTTCTCCTTCTATATGGGCAGCAAGACCCTGAGGGGCAGGAACACATCCTCTGAGTATCAGATACTAACTAGAAGAGAAGATTCTGGATTATACTGGTGTGAGGCAGCCACAGAAGATGGAGATATCCTTAAGCGCAGCCCTGAGTTGGAGCTTCAAGTGATGGGTAAGAATGACAGGAAGCCACTGGCACAGGAGAAAGGGTTCCCTTTCCTCCCACGGGGCTGAGGTTTGATGCAGGGTTTCATGGCCCAACCTGGAATAGGAGGTCTCTTTAGAAAAGGCCCATGGGCAGGGTTTTTCACCCCTGATTCAAGACTTCACTGTACTCCTCATAAACTCCATTAAATCTTTTGTCCTTTCTGCCTTTTTGCTGTTCCTTATTTCACTTCTTTCCTTCATCTCATCCTTCTTTTTTCTTCTTCATTTTCTATTCTCACTCCCTCCCATTCTTGCCCTACCTCTCCTCCTCCTTTTTCTGTCCTCCCTCTCCCTTTTCCTCACCAACAATATATTGCGTTTCCCCTCTCTACTGTTATGGGTCCGGGGATATAAAGACAGCAAGATACAGTTTTTGATTGGAAGACTTTACATGGTGGGCTTATAATAGTGATTTTGTAGACTGCACAAAACTACCAGCCCTAGTATCTATATCTAGCTAAGGTGGAGGAATTGTGAGCTCCAGAAAAAGACCCTTTGGGAAAACAATCTTCAACCCTTAAGCATTAAATGACACAGAGATAGCAGTTGCCTCTAAAACTAATGAGTATGTCTGCTGACAGGGCCCAGCAGTTAAACTCTTCTAAGGAGACTGCCCTGTCTGTATAGAAAGCAGTCCAGTTGAGCTAGCACCAATTCCTTCCTACGCCTGCATTTACCAGTACCTCCATTAGACATAGGCACTTTAAGCCTCTGTCAATCTTTTCTTCCAAACATAACTCACCCAGATCTCTCTGGTTTCTAAATGGTATCTCTTCTTCTTGTCTTTTTCTGTTGCAGGCCTCAAGTCACCAACTCCTGTCTGGTTTCACATCCTTTTCTATCTGTCAATGGGAGTAATATTTTTGGTGGACACTGTTCTCTTTGTAAAAATACATAAAGAACTGCAAAGAAAGAAAAAGTGGAATTTAGGTATTTCTTTGGCTTCTGATCAAGGGAAGAAAGTAACTTCCTACCTTCAAAAAGATAGATACTTAGAAGAAAAGGTGAAGTGTCAAGAACAAGAAGAAATGCTGTAAGAAAGGCCACAGAGAAAGCCCAGGAGAAGGAGAGTGGCAGTTCAGTGGGTGGCCACAGATCTACCCAGCTCCTATCCCTTCCTCTGTGGGGGCCCTGAGGCCCAAACATCCAAAAGCCGAAAAACACTAGAACTGTGGACCTCATAGCATGACGGGCTAAAGTCCCAGCTCTTGCCTCCAGAGATTTACTGTATCCTTCTGATTTCCTCAATGACTACTCATGTGTCCAAGATATGTGCTGTCCTGCTTGGGCTACAGTTTGGAAACAAAACATTTCCCTACTCTTCTGTAACATAACTGCCATAAAAACTGAAATATGTGAATAAGACTTTATTAGAAATTTAGGGGGAAAGGAGTATAAAAACATAGTGAAATGATTCCAAATTATTTGGTTTATAATGTAGCTTATATACCAAGCAAGGGTCATCCCTGCCTAGCCTCCATCCTGACCCCACAAGGCAAAGCCCACCTTTAGCACCAGCCTCCACAACCCCCACCTCAGTACCTCCAAGCAACTTGGGACTTTGTGCAGATGCAACAGCACCTTAGTCCCCTGGTTCCCTCATCTGTGGACAAGGAGAATGTCCACAGATTCTTCTCCCCTTCACCTTCAGAAAAAAAAAAATTATTTCAATAGAAGCACAGAAATTCCAACATTTGTGTCAAAAGATGAATGTATATTGGGCTGGTGGAGTGGCTCAAGTGGTAGAGCACCTGCCTAGCAAGCATGAGGCCCTGAGTTCAAACTCCATTACCACATACACACACACACACACACACACACACACACCAGAATGGATGCCTATTGCAGTAAGAGTTTTGTTGATTGTACATAATGCTTGGCCTTGTGAACTGGGGGCTCAGGGAAATGAAAATTGTAAGAAAGGAGTTTCCTAGGAAAAAGACCCAAAGAATTTCAGGGAAAGGAAATGGCAAGGCTCCCTGGGGGGAAAGGGGTGGGGCAGATACTGTAGACAAAGCACTATGACCTGGAGTGAAACTGGAATTAGGCCAGTCATTGTGAAAGTATCACAAAGTGCTATCTCCTGCCCACAATTCTCTTTTTGTGCTTCCTCTCCAGATTTTCCAAGTTTATAGCTTTGTCACAATTGTTTCTTGTTGTGTTTTAATGCTTAAATAATCCATTTGATTAAACCAATTTTTTAGTTGAACAATTCCAGTCTACCCTTATTTCTGGCTTAGAGCTGTACGAGGAACAGGTGCTTGGAGCCCACCATATTGGGGCCTACCTACCCATTCCCCAAGCCTCATGGCTTCTCTAGTCAGGGCCTTCTATTATTTCATACCTTCTGGTTAGCTCCCAGTCCTCCAATTTCCCTAAAGAGGTTGAATACCCTCTCCTGGCACTCACCCCTATCTAAGGACTCACTTCTCTTTATTTTCATTATTTTTTCATCCAGTACTGGAAACACACTGGTTGACTATACTGGAGAGAGCCTGAAAGGACCCTGAGCCCCTTATTGCTCACCACCCTCTCTCACCTTTGGGAAAAGCCTAAATACAGGCAGGGGCTGGTGGTGGATAATTCCATCTGGGAACAGGGAAACCATGGGAAGAAAGTGGAAATTTCTCTAGGTTTGCTCTAGATTACCAGGCACCCACAGGGAAGCTTACCTTACTAGTATCATTTTTGTAATAACTAAAACTACTTTGTTTCAGATAGAAAAACACATACACTGTGATCAATTTGTTTCTTCACACCAGCTTGCAAAGAAAGCTGGAGAAACCAAAGAGATGGTGCTCACTAGACCCTGTGGAACAGGATTCCTGGCAGTGTCACAGCCATTCTTTTCTTGTGACTTGTGTATCATGATTAGTCAGTACTTTACATCTCCTCTGCAAGCACCAGAGGTTACCAGAAGGCATTTAAAGACCCAGGATGCATCCTCAACCAACAAAAAATGAAACTTAGCAAGTAAGTACCACCTATTTGCCACCCCTCATCGGGACTCCAGTGTGTTCCATTAGTGTCTCAGAGAATTCACATAAAACTGAGTGCCAATTCCTACATCAGTGGCTGTTTTATTGACTTCTCTCTCTTCCAGTCTCATTTCTCTACTTCCATCATTGTGCTTCTTAAGATTATCTCCCAAATAAGATACTTACACTCAAATTCGGGTCCTCCTTGGGGGGAATCTAAACTATATAAAAGTTTGGTTGCTTTAACTAGGGCCACAAAGAGACACCACGATTGGTTTTAAAGTCATCTTTTGTCCATTGCTATTGCTTTCATATAATTTAGATTGTTTGGCTTTTGGAGAAGGTTCTGTTTTTGGTTTGCTTGGTGTGTTTTTTTGTTTGTTTTGGGGTTTTTTTTTTGGTGGGACTGGGATTTGAACTTAGGGCTTCACACTTGCAAAGAAGTCGCTCTATGCTTCAGTCACTCCTCCTGGCCTCAGCTTGTTTGGTAAAAGGAGACAAAATGGATGGTCATATTTAGCTAGTAAGTTCCTGTTCACTCAAGTTTTTCCTGAACTTTCCACAAAGAACTAATCTCTCTCTTCTTTTTGCCCACAATATTCCTTTGCCCTGGACACTAGTATAAAGCAAACTTTCAAACAGATTTGCCTTAGACTAGGCATTTTGACACATAGTGTCCTCCTATACTGCATTTCTTTCCAACATTGCTTCAACCTAAACTACTCCCATCGGTTCTTTACCTAAGCCTAGAACTACTGCCCTGAAAAGTAGTCTGTCCTAGAAATAAATAAAGCTTCCATAAACAGTTCTCCAAAATACTCCCTTAGGGAAAAAAGGGCAGAGAATTAAACACGGGAGGCTTCAGCCACAGTGAATCCCCCAGGTCTCCCAGTGGCTGGGTGAGGCAGGGCTAATCCTCCTTAGAGGTTCGAGGAATTTTCTGGAAAGAAATGTGAGTCCTGCCTTAAAGCAAACAATGTCTTACCAAGTTGCCCCACGGCTCCCCATGGTGTGTCTTCTTCCCTGTAAGGAGTAATAAACCTGACTTGTTCAATCACAGGTGTGTTCCTAGGAGTCTTTAGCTAGACATACATTTACAGTAGCCTAAAAAAAAGAACATTTTGAGTCTGACCAGAAACAGAACACAATTAATTCTTTCAATTGTCACCTGACTTCCTGTGATTGCATTTGGCCACTTTGATTAAATGTGAGTTACTTCCAGGTCACACCTCCAATAGCTAGGGCTGAGTGACTTCTACAAATCACTGGTAAAAACTGCTCTTAACTGGCCATTGGGTCATATCGCTTTAATTTCTCTATATTAAAGCAATCAACTCAAGCCTTTCGTACACAATGGGTGGGAAGTCAAGCATCATTCTCCTGGAATTTCTCTCCCAGATTCCTTGGTAAAAGAATTTTAAGTTTTAGTTTCTATATTCAAGCAAGAAGAATCTGGTTTCTAGCCTGACAGCCACAGTTGCTCCTTTGACTCCGCTTAGTCCACATGCTGTCACACTCAGATTCTGGCACTAAACTCCACAGCCCCATGAAGGAAAGAGATTACAAAAATGACCACATTTTCTCAGTGCCACATTGGCTCCAGCTGCTGCTCCCAGGGTGTCTGAGAGCCAAAGCTCACAGTGCCCAGTGCTTCCACTACGTCGTTGGTCATTTCTACCATGCTAGGTATTTTTGAGACAGGATCTTGCTGTGCAGCCCATACTGGCCTTGAACTCACCATCCTCCTGCCTAACTTCAAACTCTCCATCCTCCTGCCTCAGCCTCCCAAGTGCTGGGATTATTACAGACAAGCTTCATAACACCCAGCTAGCTTTTGGGTTCTATGATGCCTGTAAGAGAAAAACATCAATGACCTAATTCTGTTTGACTCAAAAAAAGTCACAAGAATTTATATTGAGAAGATTTTCATTTTGATAATATTTTAAAAACAAATTATCTATTAAGACAACAAATTGGGATTTCTTTGTTTCTTTTTAAAGGTTATCTTCTGTGGTAGACACAGAGATTGCTGCCCCAACCGCTTTCCAAGAAAGATCATGATGACTGCTGTGAAGCCTGCATTCAGCAGACATGCTCCAGCTGTTAGCGCCTTCAGGGTCAGCCTCAGCTACCTCCCCCAGTCACACCTCACCTGAAGCACCCTGCATCCCATGCCTGAACATAGAAGGCCATTTCAGCCCCAAGCAGGACATTCCTATGGGTGCTATTGCTCCAGTGCTCTTCACCAGGCTGGTCATAGTTGCACCAGTCTCACCCTGAAGTCTGATTCTCCTTCTGCTTCCTGACTGCTCACAGGCGTTCATCCCTGGGAAGCAGCTTGCACCCCAAACCATCCCAGTACCTTCTGCCAGACAGTCCAAATGAGACAGTTTCACACACCCCAGCACCATTTAGGAAGTCTTTGGAGTCTTATAAGATCCCTTTGCTTAAATAATACTTTTAGAGACATGTTTATTTCAACTGAGAACAGAACAAGTTGGTAATGGCAAAGATATACACACATGATGCTGTTTGGTAGAGGAAAACAAGCTTGATGCTCCTGTGAGTGATCTTATTATTAAATGTCTTATCAGATCAGCCTTTTGTACCTGGTTTATAACACAAGATGTTCTCTGTCCACCAGCTAACAGGAGAGGGGGCATCCTCATTTGTTTCTGATTGTACTTAAAATGCTATAGACTTGCATTTTAAGGTCAGGATTTGGAATCTCACTGGTTACCAGAAGCAAAACATGACCCTACCTTATTTCACTGCAGAAATCAAGAAATTGATCAATTGGATTTGACTCAATCATGGTGAAACACAGCATGGACTACAGAGTCGTCGCCACTCCTTGTCACACACATGGTTTGCGTCAGTCAGATTTAGGAGTCCTCCCTTGCTGAATGAACCTGGGGGGAACTTATAAAGATGCTTAGTGTGTACACCAGCAACAGTACTTTAAGGGAATCAAACTCTGATCTCCAGCTTCCACTCTTGCATAATCCTAATCTACCTGAGAACACACCTACTGTGTTGAATCTGGCTTTCCACCTTATTCTTTCTCACCCTTCTCCCAGTTTACCAGAGAAAAGCATGTCACTCATCTATCCCAAATCATGATACATTGTCATAGGTTCTCTCTGGTGGAACCAAAAGGACAAGGGCACTGTAAATCAGAGGTAATAGTTTCTTGTGGTTTTCCCTATCTTATATTTATGGATGTTGTAGGCATTAGAAATGGAATG